TTGCATTTTTCTTTCCGTTTTGCATTCATATAGTCATATCCAACGTGCGAACATATATTGGGTAGAAAATTAGGAAAGGTAAGGTTAAGTCGCGCAACTAGCCTTGGCTAGGTCAAAGGGGTGCCTTGGATTCTATCACTTGCCTTCCCCTTTGTCAAACGTGACCCCCGAACCTTTTTCTTTGGCTTACGTGGACTAGGAGTCGTTTTAAAAAGGGTTTTACTACTTTGTCTTTAAAAACACTTTTTTGGTGACTTGGTACACCCCAAATCTATACCAAGTGGCGACTCCGTTTTCCATATTTAAAAAACCCTTTTTAAATTTCATTTGGCCAAATCGTCGCTTTCCAAAGTCCCATGGCCTTTTACTTTTAATTTTGCACACATTCACACCACACTTCACATCTCACATCATCACACACATTCATTCACTCATCAAAAAATGGGGCGCGACAGTTGGCGACTCCACTGGGGACTTCCTAAGTGGGTCCAAGCATTTGACTTAGCCATTCGTTTCCTTTTTCTACCCTTTTTATGCATTGCATTTGGATATTAGGATTGCATTTTTCATTTTTAGGACCTTTTGTCTTATGTACGTAATCAAACCAATTCCTCGACTTATGAATGTATGTTTGAATGAATGTTTACTTGTTATCTCGCGCTTGCATTGCATTTGGGGGGGGTGTGTGTCACCTTTAGAGCCTCGCGTGGTTCTCACCCCTTCCCTCAAATAGGGGAACACTTCATACGTGCATGTTTACTTGCTTTATCCCATTTTATTTTTATTTTCGTGGGCGCCATCCCACACCGCCTTGTAGGACTAGGATCGATTGCCTTGGGTAGGCGGATGGTGTGCTCTGCGCCCATAGCGCTACCTAAGGGATCACTCGAGCCACCGACCAAAGGCCCTGGGAGTGATGACCCTTCGCCTTTAGGTCTGAAGGCTTGGGAACCGAAGCTTATCGAGTCTAGGCATTAGTGAACCCCAGCCTCATGCATCCATATTAGAATGACCTAGGGTAGAGTCGGCCTCACCCTATTTTCAGCACATTAGGCACGAGGGAAGGGGTTCCACCCTTTTTACCTGCTTTATTGTATTTCTTTTCTTAATTACTCCCAATGTGTTATGTGTACTATTAATTGCACTAACCATTCTTTTGTTTTCTTGGATTGCATTCATGTGCCTTAGCAATAAGAGGCCTTTTTGGCGCTCTTTTAGTGACTCACCCGTTAGATAGCTCACATGTTTAAATTTCAGTTATTGCACTTAATTTTCAATAAGTACATTTCATTTTAGACCTTTTTCCCCCCAATGCATTATTTATGTCCTTTAGATAATATTTGTCACATATTTACGTCGTTTTAATAAATGGCATCATGCATAAACCATAGAAAGGGAATGCCACATAGGGAATCCCGTGGTTAGGAATAAACCGCCTTGTGTCTCGGATACTTAATCCAACGAGACTTGCATGTTTACAATTTTGTTTGGCCTTCGGGGTAAAATCCCAAGGTAAGGTACTAAAAGTGAATTCTCTATCAGATGGCTCCATGCCGAATGTTAAACCGTATACCTCGTGAGCTGATAGATTGGAAGAACAACATGGCGCATGAGGTGAACCGATTGTTCCGATACATAGGGCATCTACCAAGTCTTTTGAACATAGCCCCAAACGTAGCTATCATTGAAGCACTGCTTGAGTATTGGGATCCCAAAGGCTCCGTCTTTCGATTTGGGGAATGCGAGTTAACACTCACTCTGGAAGAGATAGAAGGCTTGTTGCAAATGCCTGGGAAAGGAAGCCCTATGGTGTACCCAACTAGTGGCACTAGAGAGCAGTTTTGCAAGTTTCTAGGATTGGAACGAGCTAGCATGAACCAGCACCCGGACGCAAAATCATGTCCACTGGAGTTCTTGTACGAACGATTTGGGAGAAGGGACTCTTATGATCAACACCATGACGACTTCTTCATTAGCAAAGAGGAGTGGGAAGGAAAGCGAGTCCAAGTCTTTGGACTAGCCTTGACTAGTCTACTTTTATTCCCGCAAAAGCATGGGAAGGTTACCTTTTCAACAATCAACATGATGCAAAGCGTGTTTCTAGGAATTAAGGAGAAGACCCCTACTTTGGTGCCTATCATCATTGCTGATATCTTCACTGCCGTTACTGAATGCCAAAAGAAGAGGGGGTTTTTCTATGCATCCAACCTGGTGCTCCAAATGTGGGCCATGGAACATCTGTCAAAAAGAGCGCTAAATCCATTGGGGTCCTGTCTTCCAACAGCAAACTGGGTCGAGTCGCACCGAGAGAGGGTTAGCAGATACTATCGAATAGCGTCTCCAAGCTTGTTTATTCAGGAATTCAATGCTCTGACTTCGGATAAGATACAGTGGGTTCTCGATTGGACGAAAGTAAGGGATCCAGCTTTCAAGACTACACAATTTGACTTCATTCCATTAGCAAGTACCAGTGGGTTGATTGTGTACATTCCACAACGAGTTATGAGACAGTTCGGGTACCCGCAGAGAGTGCCGACCATACAAGAAATGGGAAGTATCGAGCTTAATACAGTCACTGAGTGCCGGACTATGGTGTTAGAAGGCTGGGGGAATCTGTGTAGTTTGGACAACCTGCATTTGGACCAAGTGAACAAAGTAGAGCCTAGGGTCATCTTAGAGTACAACGAATGGATCAAATCAATGATAGAACAAGGGAGAGAAAGGACACCGTTGATTGCCGTTAGTCTCGAGGAACAGAATGGGAAGCTAAGGAAAGAGCTGGAGGATCATCAGTTGCAGATCATGGTGGCCGATCAAGCATTGGAGGACGCCCGCTCACAATTGAGGAAAGAGGCAAAGAAGACAGAGAAATTGGAAAAGGCATTGAGTGCATTTGATAAAATTCAAGATGAAATTCGAAAACTTAGTATCGGGAGTTCTAGGGAATCCCAACATACCAAACTAGCTAGACATGAGGACTTTGTAAGAATGGTTGGTCAAACCATCAATGACATTGTAAAGAAGGATTGAGTTTATCCATATTTTAATGAGAAATTCCGCTTCTATATTCACTTACAGGTTTGAAAATGGGATTTTACCCCGAAGGTTGCATCATGCTAGGCCTACCCTTGGCACAAAAAGGGTCCCCCCGTAGGACATGCATCCGAGTTGCTTAAATAATTACTAACTCATGCCTTTTTCTTTTTCCCTTTTGAATAAATTGCAGAAATCTAATAACGATTGGTTTATCTAAAGAAGTCTTTTGCATTCTCAGGTAAAGTTTCAAAATAGCTTTTCGAAAAAGCCCCATTATTACGCGATCCCGAAGTAGAGCCCAAAGGAATCGTGTAGACATGAGTACTCAACCAGAATCATCCGAAAAGTTCGTTGCAACTACCCAGCCGGAAGCCGCAAGTCCTGGGGTTCAGTTGACCGAGTTACTCACTAAATTTGGGGAAATGGCATCAGAAATGGCCGCTCAGAAGAAGTTGATTGACGAGCTCGTTAGTAGCGGAGTGCGACCTGAACCTGTACCCGCTACACAACCACAATCCGAACCATTTGTTATTCCTTCATTTCAAACCACGTTTGAGGGAACTTTCAATCCGCAATATGCTTATACTCAAAATCCTCCTTTTTATCCCCCTTATGGGCAAGGATTCCAGCCTCAGGGTGATCCAAACATGCATGTAACTCCACCGACTTTCTTTCAGACTACCGCAGAGCCCGTTGTGCCGGAGCACGTTTTTCAAAATAAGCCAGAAATGGGAGATTCGTCTGCCCAGATTGATATGAAGTTACTTAAACGCTTGGATCGTTTTGATGAATTTATCCGGAAAAGCCAAGGTTTAAGCAAGCAAGGGGTGCTGGACTACGATGATTTGTGCCTATTTCCAAACGTACAACTGCCGGAGGGGTTCAAGACTCCGAAGTTCAACAAATATGATGGCACGGGCAACCCAAAGACGCACTTGCGCTTGTTTGCTAACAAGTTGGGCAAGCCAGTGGATGACGAGAATTTGCCGTTGCGACTATTTCCAGAAAGCTTAGAAGGGGATGCTCTCGATTGGTACTCCAACCTGAAGCCAGAGGAAGTGAAGACCTGGCTCGATCTGTCCAATGCCTTCATTCGACAATATGAGTACAACTGCGAGCTAGCGCCGACCCGGACTACTCTGGAAGGAACGAAAAGGAAGCCTTCTGAGGACCACAAGACCTATGCCAAGAGGTGGAGAAAAGTAGCTGCGAAGGTGGAACCACCGATGACTGAGGATGAAATTATTCGCACATTCATCAAAGCCCACGATCCGCCGTACTTCGAAGAGATTTTCCGTATGACCGGATGTTCGTTTGCTGCAATTGTAAATAAACTTGAGGAGTTCGATGACTTTGTGAGGGCTGGGAAGATTGTCAATGTTTCCGCCCTTAAATCTCAGTTGGATGCTTTACAAGGTCAAGGAAGCAATGTGAAAAAGCCACCGTTCAAAAAGAAGGAGGGGGATACAACATTTGTTTGGAACCAAAATCCTTCACCCAGACCTCGATACCAACACAGCCCAATCTACCAAACCCATTACCCTTATTATCCAAACCCGTAACCTGTATATGCCACTAATATCCAGCACCCTAGACCTCGCCCAAGCTATCCTAACCCACCTTCAACCCCTTTTCAAATTTCTCAACCAAATCCACCCCAAAACCGACCACGCCTTCCATATAACCCAAGATTTCCGCCTCCAAATAGACCTGCTTACAACCAACCTCAACCTTCTGAACTTTACAATCGACCCCCTAGCCGTGCATTTACCAATTTAGGTAGGCCTTTAGACCAATTATATGAACAGTTAAAGGCCGCCGGGAAAATTGGTATGGTACCCCCTCCTACCTATCCATATGGCATGCCCGCCTGGTATAACCCGCAAGCCGTCTGTGCTTATCATTCTGGGGCCCCCGGACATGCAACTTTGGATTGCAAGGCGCTTAAGCATAAAGTTCAGGATATGGTTGAGTCTGGAGAAATCGTGATCAGAAAAAGGGAGCCACAAGGGCCAAACGTAAATCAAAACCCCTTACCAGAGCATGTTGGGGTTATTATGAATGATGCGGAGTACGAGGAACAAATCAAGAAATTGGCAATAGAAGCTGAAGTGTTTGGTGTCACGGACCAACCGTTTGTCATAGAGTTGCCATTCGAAGAAGATAACAAGCCTTTTGTCTTAGATCTCACGCCAGCGGAGAATGAAGCTTTGAAACCAGTAGTCATCGAATTCCCGAAGCAGGAGCCCGTATTAAGTCTGCAACAAGTGCCGTGGAATTACGATGAGCCTAGCATACAGATCGGGGAGAATTCAACCGCAAAGAAGGAAGTGTCAGTAGTTACCAGATCGGGGAAGACTGTAAATCCATTTGAGACTACTACTCCAATTCAAGCCAATAGTTCTGAGCTACCCATCAAACCAACAATCACCGAGAAAGAAGCCGTGGATTTCCTTAAACGACTCCAGAGGAGTGAATACAACATAGTGGAAAAGCTAAGCAAATCACCTGCCCAGATAACCATGTTGGACCTACTTTTCTCTTCGGACGTGCATAGGGATGCATTGATCGACGTATTAACAAGAGCTCAAATTCCGAAGGACATTTCTGTTGATAATTTTTCAAACGTGGTTGGGAGCGTATTATTCAACAAACAAATTGCTTTTTCTGACGATGAATTGCCGACAGAGGGCATTGGACATAATAGGGCGTTGTACATAACAGTGAGGTGCAACGGGAAAATGCTGCCGAAGGTGCTAATTGACAACGGGTCCGCGCTTAATATCTGTCCTTGGAGTACCTTAGAGAAACTAGGATTGCAAGACATTAAGCTGAGGCCTTCGGGGACTATCGTTCGAGGGTTTGATGGAGCTCAAAGGGAGCCGATAGGAGAGGCAGATTTAGTAATCGAGATGGGGCCCGCCCAATTTCAAATAACTTGCCAAGTAATGCATTTCCCGAGCATTTACAATATTTTACTTGGAAGGCCATGGATTCATAAGTCTGGGGCTGTGCCATCTTCATTGCATCAATTGCTGAAATTCGTAGTAAATGACAAGCTAATCACTATCTTTGCCGAAGAGGACTGCCTGGTAATCACCGATTCTGGATCTAAAGAGGAGGGTAGTCAAAGTGTTACCACGTCCCCTCACAGCACATCCGATATAGTCTCCGTAAGTTGGATAACCACGGAGGAACAAACTCTCTCAAAGGCCAGTGTAATGATGGCCAGAGAAATGATTCGTGGAGGATACAAATTCGACAAGGGGTTGGGGCGTGAACTGCAAGGGATCCTGAAGCCAGTGAAGATAGTAGAAAAGAGGGATACCTTCGCTTTGGGTTTCAGACCAACCGCCAAGGATTTCAAGGAGATGAAGGAGCGTAAAAGAGCAGAAAAAGAGGGCCGGTAAAGGGTTTTCGATATTCCACCGCTACGGTATACTTTTCCCCGGCCAGCTGAAATAATCACATCAGAGGGTAATTCAACTGAAGAAGTCGAGGATAGTTTGTCCCAACTGTTCATTGGGGCAATATTTGAAGACAATTTCCCGAACGAGGCCGAATTTCCTGACATCCCTGAAGGGTCGATTTCCAATTGGGCAGCTGAATTTCTGCCTATTCGGAAGGAGTTTCGGTAAACTGAAAGGGGTTTATCATTCATATGAATTTATGAAAAATACTTTTGCATCTGTAAATAGCCAATGAAAACAATTTTCCTTTTGCGCATGTAAATATTGTTAAATTTTCATTTTCACTTGCTTTCAGTCAAAGGTTTTATGAAAATGCACAAGTTGTTCTTGTCATTGTTGTTTATTCGCTTGTTTATATTCATATTGTTTGTTCATTTGTTTGTTGTATGCTTATTTGCTTATTATCCCACATTCGTTAATTCTTTCAGATGGCCAAAAATAAAATTATTTGATCCTTTGGATATCACAATTCTGGAATTCGATAATGGCAATCTCCATATCACTCACGACTTGGACGTTTGTGAATCCGAACTCCAAAGCGAGAGTGATAATGAGGAAGTATCCGGTTCGTTTGCAAAGGATCTTGAACAATATGAGGAAAAACCGAAACCGAACCTGGAAGAAACAGAAAAGATTAACATTGGAAAAGAGGATGAAGTTAAGGAGGTGCAGATTAGTATTCATCTGAATAAGAGCCAGAAAAAGGAGATGCTCGAGTTCTTGACTATGTTCCAGGATGTATTTGCGTGGTCCTATGATGATATGACTGGTATTTCGACTGACGTGGTAGTGCACAGGTTACCCACAGACCCTTCTTTTCCACCCGTAAAGCAAAAACCCCGAAAATTCAAACCAGATATGAGCCTCAAAATAAAAGAGCAAATTGAAAAACAACTCAAAACCAACATTATCATTGTTTCCCATTACCCAATTTGGCTTTCAAACCCAGTCCCTGTTCCAAAAAAGAGTGGAGAGGTGAGAGTTTGTGTTGACTATAGGGACCTTAATAAAGCCAGTCCTAAAGATGATTTTCCTCTACCAAATATTCACATTCTCTTAGACAATATTGCCGGACATGAGATTGAATCCTTTTGCGATTGTTTTGCTGGCTACCACCAAATTTTGATGGCAGAAGAAGATAGGGAGAAAACTGCTTTCATTACCCCTTGGGGTACCTTTTGCTACCGAGTCATGCCTTTTGGTTTAAAGAATGCTGGAGCAACGTATCAGAGGACCATGACAACCCTATTTCATGATATGATCCACCGGGAGATGGAGGTCTACGTGGATGACATCATAATCAAGTCTAAAAGGACGGAGGATCACTTGGATGATTTGAGGAAGCTATTTGAAAGGCTGCGAAAATACAATTTGAAGTTAAATCCTGCGAAATGCGCCTTTGGGGCACCAGCTGGTAAATTGTTGGGTTTCATCGTGAGCAAGAGAGGCATAGAGATAGATCCAGCAAAAATCAAAGCCATTCGAGAGATGCCAGTGCCGAAAACTCAGAAGGACGTGAAAAGCTTTTTAGGGAAGATCAATTTTATTGGGAGATTCATTGCCCAGTTAACGGCCACATGTGAGCCGTTGTTCAAATTATTAAGAAAGAATGTGCCGTTGTACTGGAATGAGGAGTGCCAACAAGCTTTCGACAAGATTAAAGATTATTTGCTGCAGCCTCCGGTCCTAGTGCCACCCAAACCGGGCCGACCGCTGATCATGTACCTATCTGTGCTCGACGGAGCAGTTGGTTGCGTTCTCGGGCAACACGATGACTCGGGAAGGAAAGAACAAGCCATTTATTATCTAAGCAAGAAGTTCACGCAGTACGAGGCTAATTATTCGTTCATTGAGAAGAGCTGCTGTGCGTTGGCCTGGGCGGCTCAAAAGCTGAGACATTACCTGTTGAGCCATACCACTTATCTTATTTCCAGATCTGATCCTTTGAAGTATCTCTTGGAAAAGCCAATGCTAACTGGACGTCTAGCTAAGTGGCAGATAATCCTCTCAGAGTTCGACATTATTTTCACTTCACAGAAGGCCGTCAAGGGGCAAGCTATAGCTGATCATCTGGCGGAAAACCCAAGGGACGATGATTATCAGCCACTTCACACCTATTTCCCTGATGAAAAGATCTTATTTGTAGGCGCCACGGACGATATAAGTGAGCAGTGCCCTGAATGGAGGCTTTTCTTCGACGGAGCTTCAAATTCTCTAGGAGCTGGAATTGGAGCTGTTCTGGTTTCGCCCGAAGGAAAACACTACCCTGCCGCTGCCAAGTTGCAATTTGCTTGTACCAACAACATGGCTGAATATGAAGCTTCCATTTTTGGTCTCAAAGTGGCTTTGGAAATGGAGATCAAGGAGTTGGTAGCTTTCAGTGACTCAGATTTACTCGTGCACCAAACCTTGAAGCAGTGGATAACCAAAGATTCAAAAATTCTGCCCTACCATTGTAGTTTGCTCACTCTGGCCAAACAATTTCAAAAATTGGAGTTCAGACACCTCCCACGAGCCCGAAATGCATTTGCCGATGCTTTGGCCACCTTAGCTTCTATGATTCAGTATCCAGATGAATTGAAAATTGAACCGATCCAGATTCAACTTCAGGATAAACCTGCTCACTGTTGGGTTGTAGACAAGTCCTCCGACAAAGTTCCTTGGTATAATGATCTTAAGGAATTTCTCAAAACTGGATCTTACCCCCAGCATGCTAGTACCAAGGACAAAAGTTTTCTGCGTAGAATGGCTTCCAAATTTTTCTTAAATGGTGAAGTGTTGTACAAAAGAACCCCGGATTTCAACCTTTTAAGGTGCGTTGATGAAGATGAAGCTCAATATATGATGAAAGAAGTGCATAGTGGCGTTTGTGGACCTCACATGAATGGCCATCTGCTAGCGAAGAAAATCATGAGAACCGGATACTTCTGGCTTACTATGGAGCATGATTGTATAGACTTTGTCCGGAGATGTATAAAATGCCAAATGCACGGTGACATTATACGCGCTCCACCCACTGAGTTGCATAGCATGACCGCCCCGTGGCCCTGTTCAATGTGGGGTATGGACGTGATTGGGACAATCGATCCTCCCGCTTCAAATGGGCATCGATTTATATTGGTGGCGATTGAGTACTTTACCAAATGGGTTGAGGCGGAATCATTTAAACATGTGACGAAGAAAGTAGTTGCCAATTTCTTGAGAGATCACATCATCTGTCGATTTGGGGTGCCTGAAACGCTTATCACTGACAATGCCAAGAATCTGAACAATGACATGGTGGATGGACTATGCGAGCAGTTCAAGATCAGACACCGCAACTCCGCCATTTATAGGCCTCAGATGAACGGAGCTGTAGAAGCCGCGAATAAGAATTTGAAGAAGATTATCCGCAAAATGACTGAAAGGCATCGCGATTGGCATGACAAGTTGCCTTATGCACTAATGGCGTATCGGACTTCTATCCGGACATCGACTGGGGCAACGCCATATTTACTGATGTATGGAATGGAAGCTGTATTACCAGCCGAAGTTGAAATTCCTTCGTTGCGAATCCTTATGGAGGCTAAATTGAAGGAGGCTGACTGGATAAAGAGATAGTGAAGTGTGGCTGTGGATATAAGCTGGGAAAAATTTTCCAGCCTTAGTCAAGTCTGATAAAGAATTTCTTATTGATTTCCTTATAGATTTTGGGGCTGTGAAAAATTATATTATTGTTGAATTCACTTTATAATACCTTGAAATGGTCATGTATTTGAACTTTGGGGTGACAAGGTGATAGTATGGTTGGAATTTCCTGGCTGTGGAACAATTACTTGAGTATGAAGCTGTTGAAAATTTGGTCCTTGACTTTAAATACCTGTTAGTAAATTTAAACATTTGAAATGTTAGCCTTGTTGCTATAAGAATTACTTGTTGGGTGCTAAGGGCTAATGATTGACGAAGCCCTTGACCATTTGAATGATTTTTATATAAATGTTAAAGTGAGGAAATTAAATTGCTGGAATTGCTTGAAGACCTTACGTTATTGTAATTAAGTGAGATGTGATTTGAGATTTGCCAAAAACCAAGTGCTAATGATTGACGAAGCCTTGGTCGTTTAATTTAGTCTTAATCTGAAATGAATCTGCTGAAACCTAGGGCTAATGATTGATGAAGCCCTAGTGAGACTTCTATTTGAAATGTGAGTTTGATATATTGACGAATCTGAAAATATTACATGTGTGTGTGAATCGGAATGGTAAGGAATCCGTTTTGGTCTGGTAAACTTGAGAAAATTTTAAGCAAGCCATTTAAACTAGCCTTATTACTTTTAGAAAATGATTTCACTAGTTCCTAAGACCTAAGTCTTGATTTTTTCATTTCCTTTAAATAGGCCCTGGCTAGTTGTTTAGAGGAACATTTTGAAAAATACAAGATTTTGGTGACTTTAACTAAAACCAGCAGAAACTTACTCGGCAAGAAAACTTACTTTAAATAAAATAATACTAGCCGCACTCTTATAAAGAAAGTATTTAAAGGAAAGCCATGTAAAACATTTCCTACTTTTACTAACCCTTAATCCTTAGTGGATTGTCGAATTATTTCGAGAGAATAAACCATTTATAAACTAGAGAATCTTTTATACTTATAAACCTAGAACTTGAATAGAAATTGAAAATGTTATATTTGTACTTTAAAGGTCAAACTTGATTTTAATAATTTACGCAGAAAACTTGTTTGGCAAGAAACCTTATTCAAAGCAAATTGGTTCTGGTTTGCACCTCTAGAAAGAAAGAAATCCTATGAAGTATTTCATCACTTTCACTAGTTTAACTCTAGGGAAATTGTTAATTTATTTGGAGTAGATAAACTAGTTATATACCAGATAACTTTGTATTTATAAACCAAGAACCGTACAACAACACTTATAGTTTTAAATTTTGGATTTCTAGGGTATA